CGGTGTGTCTGCTGCTTCGATTAAACATGCGCGCACCTAAATGCCAAGTTGCTTGGTACAGCGATTTGTACGATCGGTGTCTGATGAAACTATTTACGAAACCTCCCAATCTGCCCGCTGTCAGTAATGGTTTTTTGCATTCCATTCAGGCGTCTCCATGACGGTTCAACACTACCCCGGTCTCGAGCTGCAGACCTCCACCTTTATCAGTCGGGCCAGGCCACATCTGCTGGTGCGCGTGTTGGAAGCCCTCTTTCTGAGCGAGGACGAGGAGGATGCGACCAGCCTGAAGGATGAGGTGCTGGTTCTACCCGACCGTCCAGTTGACTTCGAGTCACCTGACCTTCAGACCTCCGTGGAGGTAGTTGATGGCCGTCGCGTGTACGTTTAACGCTCCTTTGCTCTGTGAACTGCTACTTTCCCTTCTTCTACTTACGGTCTGTGACCCACCCAGAGGGACATAAATTTCACATATTTTAATAGAAGCCAGGGAAAGACGAAACATTAATTGGGGCGAATGTTCGCATTCCAGTTGTGTGTGCGTAGGTAAAGAAAAAGGCACGGCGATCACCGGAATTATGGTTTTATTCGTCTGAGCTCTCAAACTCTTACCGCAGTCCATCGTCAGAGGTAAAAGTGGTAACGAAAAACAAGCAACACTTACAGGGGGCAGGGCCATTCTATCACCAGGACTATCAGTCCGCAGACGCCTGCGCAGGGCTCTGTACGCCGGCGCCAGATCGATACATCGATCAACTGAGTTGCCGTCGAAGTCCCAGGCTTCAATCAATTCTCGACCGGTCTTGTTCCCAGCACGGGCGATTATCTTCGCGAGAAGAAGCAGCGTTCGCTGGCACAAGACTTTTATTTGCCTGACGCTTCGAAGCCCCTCGCGGACTTTTCACCCGATTATTTTCGCGGCTGCAAAATTAAACTCGCGACCCGCCTCGTAGGTGTGGGCAGCCATTTGTCATAATGCATCACCCCGTCTTGCAGCGAGCTTATGCTCGCGTACACGCGAACCAATTGATTTATCCGTCTGGCATCGGCATACATAGCCCTGCGCAGTCATCTCCGAACTGATGTCATTAGTGGTTGATTGGCCGCTGCCCCTTCTAACTGCAGCTTGTTTTTCTTTGTCGCCTTTATCTCTGAAGATGGGTTCCGGTAAGAGTTCTAAAGCTAAGACAAATAAAACCATAATTCCCGTAATCGGTGTGTCTTCTTCTTTACCCAAGACGAAGCATGTCGGTGTGAATCCTTTTAAGCTACTGATTTGCACTTTTTTGTAGTTGAATGCAGGTTCACCTGCAGTCAGGAGTACTCGGCAAGTTACACGCATGCATAATGGAGTGACATGTTTAAATTACTTTACGCTGTTTGTCAACTCAAACAATCAGCCCTCTTTATCCTCCGGCACTAATGGCTCTGCCTTGAGCAGCGCCCTCATATACTGTAAACAATAGCTGCAAGACTCCGGAGAAGTTACTGTACATAGAAGTCAGTAGTTATTCGTTTTGAAGTCCCTCGTTACGCCGTAGCCAGGGGACGGCTTTGGCGATCATTTAGAGCGTCAGACTCACCCGTGTCGTCACCTGCTCACCGGCATTCTGTCCGGTTAAAAGAAACTGCCAGGGTTGCGCGAATAAAGCTGAGCTTCACATCGACTTGACTTTTCAGACTTACCCGTGTCATCCATTAGTCACGATTTTTTACATAAAGGACATAGGTTTAAAAAAAAGCTGTCAAGGTCACCCAAACTTTCTACTTAAGGCGCCTCCTTGTTTATTTTGAGCTAGGTTCAACCTACAGAGGCACAGTCAAAAAGTGTGAAAAACGACAATGACACTGGTTGATGAACGTTCACCGACCGCTAACGGAACTTGCTTGTGCCGTTCTGCGTTGGGTTTCAGTTCCCGGCCCTGACATCGACCGTGCAGCGGCTAATAGTCTAAACAGATATTATTGCCAGCAAAGATAGCAGAGATTATAATGGCCATTTCTGGCTTATTAGCCAGCCATATTCAATCCCACGAAGTGCACCACCCGAGACTCGTACTCGCGACTTTTTTTTATCAAAGTCTAACGTCCTAACCATTGAGTTGGGTATGACTGGCTGACGACGGCTAATAAGCCAGAAATGGCTATTATGGTCTGTGCTATTTTTGCCGGCAATATTATCTGCCTAAAAACGACTATTGCAACTTGAAGCAGATTCAACACAATCCTTGGGATCGCCTTTAACGCGCAAAGTCAAGATCAACGACATTCTTTAGAAGTGACAGAGGGGTAAGCAATTTTTTTTAGCAGGAGGGCTGCGGTTTTAAACTGCTTGCTTGCGTCTGTTTGGCTGCGACGAAAATCAAATGAAATAACGCAGGGTCAATGTTTGCGAAAAGAAAGCGAACATTCGCTACAGGCATCCCGCCGCCATGTGTGATAGCTGTTATGGCACGTGAGCAATTTTCGCAGTCCAGTTGACGCAGGTCTTGTTTTAATCTGGCTGCCTCGTTGACTTAGCGCATACCCCACGTGCCTCATTGTAGGAGCACAGTGCACCGATACCTACGCTGCTACATTGTACTTTAGTGTTTTTCTTGTCCCCTACCCCCGATTGGTTCTTACAAGGTTAGCATTTTCTTGGACTAAAGCTCGTACCACAACAATCTGTGTCAGCCTACTAACTGACTGACTGACGACAAGTAGTGATGACCATAACCTCTTACAGATCGCATTTTACTTCTGCCTTTCATACAGGCACTTCCACGGTCGCATCTGGCAGCGCGAAAACGAGCAATGTCTGGCAGAATGTGATCAGGTTTTCATGCTGACGGAAATAACGCCAGAATTAGCCACCGCTGGTATTCATCTGACCCGCACGAACCCACGGGTCTGCTTTCTCACCAGTATCAGTCGATCCAGTTGGGACGAAGCGGTGGAGGCCTACGAAGCCGGTAAGCACCTGTGTTTGATGTCAATTAACGACCTTTTTATCTCCTCTGGATATCCGCAAAAGCCTTGGTGTTAGAAGCCGTGTCAGCCGTAGCAAAAGCCTGCCTCTCCAACTTTACCCTTCTTCGGTCATATTGGTTGTTAGGAGCCGGCTTAACCGACCCGCTCCTACTCCGCACTATCGCTGCACCCACATGCAATGCACTAGATAACGCGCAAGCTGCAGCCAGGAGTAGGACTCTACCCTGCCAGTCGGATGAGTCCGAAAGTTAGTAGAGCTGCATCCCACTTGAGGACACCATCTGATTGGTCTAATTAAAGGCCGATCTTGGGCATGCCTTGCTTGCCTTTGTAAAGTACGCGGTTAGCATACGGCAATACATTTACATTCTTCTATCCTTGCTGCTGACTTCTCCCTTGGAGATTCGACCGAGGCGTTGTTGGACGGTAAACATCTTGGCTTTTGGCAAGGTTATAATATTGATATCGGCGGCCCCCTGGCCCCTGCCGTGCAATACAGGGGTTCGCAGTCTGAATGACCTCGATTTTTAAGTCGTATGTCGCGCAAGCTGAGACAGTGTCTAGGTTTTTGTGTGTAAGGCGGATTGGACAAGGATTACTGTCTTGAATTTAGGTTTGGTATGATTGTGTGGCCTTTACCCGACAATAATGATGTTTCTGCATGGTTGTCTTTTCGACGGATTCCAGTAGTTTTGGACACCTTTTCATTTCACCACTCTCTGGCACATTCCCGAATGTCCTCGTGACTTGACGATGCTATTGACAGTACTTGGAAGAAAGGAGAGAGGCGGATAGAGCCTCCTTTCTAAAATCGGGCAAACTGAAGTGAACTATGCTGCCTATATTGTTGTTTTGCGCTGCGCCGGCTTTAGAAGGAGACTATGCGTGCCACTGTTGCAAATTCCACTAATGCCTGCTAGGTGTCCTTGTGAGTTTTCCGGAGAGGGGCTTAGGGGGAGAGGAGGTATTCACTCAGACTTCTAGTGGACAATCTCTACAAATGACCGCAGTCCTTAACCGGTTTTGGAAAGCACGTAAATACGAATTTAGGCGGATAGTCGCATTCCAGTTGCGTGTAAAAGTAAAGTAGAAGAAGAAGCCTCTTCGATCACCGGAATTATGGTTTTATTCGTTTGAGCCGTCGGTCTCTTTCTAAAGTCCTTCGTCAGAGATAAAAGCGCAAACGAAAAACTAGCAACAGTTATAGGGGTACGAGCCAATAAATCACCAGTGTCGTCAATCCCTAGTTGGCTGTACTTTTCTCTCTGACGATGGACTCTAGTAAAAATTCGAAAGCCCAGAACTGGAGGGTGGGTTCCAAGGAACTTTTCGTCGTGCCGACACCGTTGTGGACAGTGTCGGTACTTCACATCCTTGCAGCTGCAAGAGGTGGTCCAGTGGACGAAAGAGAATCCCGAATCGGCCTTGGCTCTCACTCTTCCCCATTTACATCAGTTTCCTTTTTTGGGTTGCAGGATTAAAAAATATATGTCTGCGTCTCGACCGTTTTTAACTCCTGAACTCTTATACGTTTTGATACCCTCACCTTGCATTCTAGTCATTGGTCCAAATCCGAGTCATGGTCCAGTGGTTGACTTTTCTTGTTCTTACTTGGACGGTGAAACTATGTCTGGCTTCTCCATCTCCACCGGTCACCCATCCCCAAACTCCAAGCCTGTAAGACCATGGACTTCAAATGGCGATCTCTTGTTCATGCAACTTAGCACTCTGCAACTTGTGGTTGATACATGCTGCCCGTTACGTTGGTTGGAAATATTTTTTCGCCCTCATGTAACCTTGACCATGCACGGTCGCGGCCAGTAGCTCGACTGCGAGGACGCTAAGCTCAATGAGCAACTGGACTCTGGTTAAAATATTTGAAATGCCGGACTTGGGATTTAAATATGGTTAACTGATGACGGTGGACAAGCTAGGTGTCACTTTTCCCGTCCCCATACTCTTATCGACTATATTTTTGAGAAGTCGAAGACAACTTAATCGCTGGGACAATATGTTTATTCGCTTGATGTTCGAAATCCGTCGCGGATTCACGACAAGAAGAGCGCAAATGCAGAAGTCTCTTAGCTTTATAAGTACAACATATTTCGGGTGTGTGTGTGTGAGTTCGACCACCGTAATCGGTGATGTCCATCATATGCTCGAGAGCAGGGACGGTGACTGGAGCCCATTATAGTGATAGTAGACGCGCCGCTGACTACTTCACTCTAAACCCTC